GACGTGGTTTCTTGTTTTGACAATTCTGGTTTTTCCTCCTTTTAAAACCTGCAGGGTTTTTAAAACATGGATGATGTTAGAGCAAAAGATTTTTCATCTTTCCTTTGGATCAACAATTCTTATCCTTTGGGGTACTCTCCTTTTGCTGTATTCTGAGACACACCTTCCCTTTCACCTTCTGAAGACATTACATGGCAGGAATTTATTGTTTCAATTTCAATTAATTTTGTTTTGACAATCTCTTGACACTGCTTTATGGCTGGAGACACCTGGGGCGTGGCAAAAACAGGAGTGTTAATTACTGTTCTCTATGTTCAAAGAAAAGGGAGCTGCCCCTTGATGAGAAGACCCAGATAGAAAAGAGTAGAAGGTGGTATTTTGAGATGGCAAATACTCCAAAAGGTGCCCAAATTGGTTATTAACTCTGCCTTCCTAAGTGGAAAATTTGGAAGAAAAAATTGTAGCTGATGGAGAATGATGTTTACTCAAGGGAATTACTGCTTATTTTTCTCCATTTAAAGAATAATTTACTTCCTCTTTCATGACAAAAATAAAAGAAAGAAACAAGTTGTCCAAATTTTTTAAATTTTTGGTGGAGGATGACAGGAGGATGTTCATATCTACAATCTTGAGGCTGCATGGTGTAGGAAAGTGGTTTTCAAATGTTCCCTTGGACCCACTAAGCTAAGCAGAATATGTTAGGAGCTTTAAGGGAGAGGCCACCATCCTGGCTTGAACCAGAGAGGGGAAAAAATACACACACGCACACACACACACACAGAAAGAAAACTATGAGCTGAGAAACTTCAATTTTATTACTCATTCTGCCATTAATGAGCTCTAGAATTTTGGGCCGTGTTTGTCTGTCAAATGAGAAGGCTAGCTGATCACAAAGTCCCTTTGAGTCCTAAATTTTATGCTTTGGTGACTCTTAGAGTCTCAGGTACCTCTGGAGAAGAGGAAAGGAACAGGCTTTTGAATTCCAAGTATTATAATGATGTTGGAAAAAAAAACAGGTAGTCCTTCACTATCTAATAGTTCTCTGAAATACAGTTAAAGATCAAGTGGGCAAAGGCAGAAAACTAGGTTACATGAATTTTAGTCTGCCTCTACCTGAAGTAAAATCTCTTTCTTTAAACTTTGGGGATAGATTTGCTCTGCCTATTTAGCTTTGTATGGAGAAGAGATATTCATTTCTGTGTCCCACATGGGATCTGGCTGGAGACAAGAATAGAAAAGAGATCACCTGAGAGCTCATTCAGCAAAATGCTCCCTGCTTCCAGGTTCTGGAAGAGGTCTGGTCAATATTTACATCCCAGTGGCCCTTGAGCCAGAGACATAGGTACAGGAAACTGTTCTGTAGAGATCGGTGACCTTCCAACTATAACAAAGCAAAGGAGTTATGCAGATCTTTTCCCTTGACTGGGCCCTTGCAGAGTGCAGCTACCTCTAGTGCAGTTACATTCATTTCTTTATCCATCAATTCATTCCACCAACGTGTATTGAGCATTTAGTAACTGTCAGGCTCTGTGACAGACACTGGGGAAATTCAAAGATGAAGAAGGAATCATGAAGCACCCACACTTTATACTTGGAGGCATACTCACAAGCAGAATAACATGTCGAGTTCATGGATGGGATGTGTATGGTTTGCTCTAGTTGCACAGAGGAAAGGCTCATAATCTAGCTTGCAGTAAGTCATGGAAAGCTTCCTGAAAGAGCTGATACTTAAAGAGAATCTTAAAGTGAGTAAAAACTTACTCATTGAAAGGGCCTCAGAAAATTGGGGGCAATCTTTGCCTGGGCAGAGAAAAATTATGCAGGTGAGAAACTGCACAGGCAGGCATGAGGACAGCAGAAGTACTGTTACTCGTGAAGATCCTACCAGTGATTAATTCCCTGCCTCCTCTCTGTGAGCCACAGTGAAGTTAAGATGGATGTGGTGAGTAGCAGTGGGTGCCCTGGAGGATTGCTTGCACTTGAACAAAGAAGAAAGCAGCTCATCTTTTTTTTTTTTCTTTATCTGAGAAGTGCAAATGGGTAGTCAAACACATTTCTGAGCTCTGTCACAAGCTTTACCTTTACCAATTCTATATCTGACACTCTTTTTCTTAAATTCTAATCATCTGTGGTCTTTCCGGTTTGACACAGAATAATGGTGGTCTCCTAAATCTGATCCTTTTCACGTATTCCCCCAAAACACATCTGGATAAATAAGAGCAGCAAATTAAACCACCCATAATCTATGCTTTCTGCATATGTAAGGAACAGAAAGTATAATACTATGAGCTTTACATTGTAAAGTAGGAATTTTTTTTAAAAATTCAGTTTTGGGGAAGACTTAGGAAGAGATATTAAAGAGATCAAGGGAAAAAGTAAAGAGGAGCAGGGACCACAGGGAAGAAAGAATACAAATAGAATTGCCCCAGAGTAATTCCCACCACAGAAGCTCCTCTCTCACTTGGAACGCCCCACCATGAGTCTGAAAACACTGAGAACAAATTTAAAATCTCTTAGATCAGAGTGCTGACTATAAGGACTTGCTCCCTGGGTACTTGATGATGAAGGGAAGTGGGAAATAAGAGCAAGAAACACAGTTCCTCTGTGTGTGTGTGTGTGTGTGTGTGTGCGCACATTTGTATGAGAGAGAGAGAATAACACAGCAGAATAAATATAAATCCTCTCCACATAAAAATATCAAAATTGATTAGAGAAACTATACCATGCCAACAGAAGAGGGTAAGTCTTGAACTAAGGAACTTAGTGAGCCTCTCAAAATGTTCATTTTTGTGTATACAACTGCCATTGCTGGTCTGGGAAATTAGACATTCAAAATTAACAGGGAAAGTAGCTGATATCCCTACAAAGTTATACCAAAAAGAAACAAAATGAGAATCAAAATGTATCAATGTTGAAAAAGCTCCTCAAAATGTCGACCATGAAGTAGAAGAAAAGTGTTAACAGAATATGTTCACCTGAATTAAATGCCTGAAAATAAGAATTTTCAGATGTGAAATAAATACTTGAAATCAGAAATAATGAAAAACTCATAACAAATACAAACAAAAAACCCAGGAAGATGTAAAATGACTGAACTCAGGAAAAAAATAATAGAAAAGGGCAAACTCATCTTAGAAGTGAAAACAACATTACAAATTACCCGAGGAAGAAAATATTGAATTGAAATTTAATAAGGATCATTAGACAAGTAAAAGAATGAAAATAGCCAAAAGAATGACAATAAAGTAAAGAAGTAAAAAGAATCAAGAGAAAGTATTTGGTATAGGCAAAGAAGACACAATATACATATAATTGGAGTCTCTGAAGAAGAAAAATGAAACAATGTAACAGAATAACATTTTAGATAACCCAAGAAATTTTTCCAGAAATTAAAGCAAGACTACTTCCATATATTTAAAGGGTCCACTGTATAGTGAAAACTGACCTGATCTAGATTAATTATCTCTGAAGCATATCTTGATAAAACTAGACTTTAAAAGATAAAAGGCTTTAAAAACAAGGGCTTCATAACTTGCAGCCAAGACAAACAAACAAAAATACAATCAAATAAACAAAGAAAAACATATCATTTTACAAAGGAAAAACAATCAAATTGGCATAAGATTCCCTACAGCAACATACAAAGCTGGACTGCAGTGGAGAAACATTTTCAAAAAACTCAAGGAAAGAAAGTGTGAGTCAAGGATATCATAGTCAGTCAAGCCATCCTTCAACTATCCAGGTTATAGAAACATATTTTCAGACATGCAAGAATCAAGGGATTCTGTACATGCACCTTTATAAAGAATCTACTAGAGAATGAATTCATGCAGCCAAGAAATAAATGGGGAAACTTTTTAAAAAGGCAGAAAAGTGAGAAAGATTGGTGGGAGTCAACATACATCAGTCACAGCTCAGAAACTGAATAGTTGAACGCCAAATAAGAAAAATGAGAATGAAAAACATTTCAAACATATTAGTATATAGGTAACTACTAGAATATAAATAAAAGTCTTCCTAAGTACTAAAAGATAAAACAAAGAGTAAACACGGTCCGATAGACGTAATGTATCACTTATATCCCCCTTCACTAATTGATGAGAGAGCATAAAAACCCAGCCTGCCTTACCCCAACTCTGGATAACTTCAAAGGGCCATCTCAGCTCCAGAGCTTTCTGTGGGGTTGGCTGAGGCCTTCACTGGATCTGCATCACAGTACAATCTCTTTTTCTGACCAATCCTACTTACTTCATCTCCCTTCCACAGGTCTTGATCAAAGAGTATCCTGGAATATACATCTAGCATGTTAATCTCCATCTCAGAGCCTACTTCCTAGAGAATATAACCTGTAATGATTTGTAAGCAGTGGTCTTGCAGATGCTAAAATGGAATTTTGGAGCTGGATCACCTGTCAGCCAGTTGGCTGGCAATAAGGACCTCACTACTGGTGGTTGGTGGAGCACAATGCAGCAGTGCAAAACTATCACTGGTGGTGATCTGGGGTAGTATAGTGATTTGAGAATGCATTACAGTCAGCCCTCTGTATCCATGGGTTCCACATTCATGGATTCAACCAACCAGGGATCACGTATGATGTTTACAGTCTGCGGTTAGTTGAAAATGTGGATGTGGAACCAGTGGATACAGAGGACCGAATAAGGGATCAGAGCATCTGCAGATTTTGGTATCTACAGCGGGTCCTGGAACCAGTCTTCTGTGGATACCAAGGGATAAGTGTAAGCTAGCAGGCATTTGAGAAATACGGAAGAAATAGAAATTATAAGGCAATGAAATTAGGTGGCTAATGTGAACCTATTGCTAAGCTTGACTGATGCCCTGGAAAAAGGTAAGAAAATCATTAAATCATCATTATTAATCACCAAATAAAATCTAAATGTGAATTACAGAGAGCCGCCTTGCTAGTATAACAAAGACTCGTTGTCTGCTTATGGAGAATAATGAAAGTGAGTATCAGGTTTATGACCTAATAATAAGAGTAGCTGAGTTCCACAGAAGATTGAACTCTCAACCATGACAAATGCGATGGGGAAATCTGAGTTGATGGACTGAAAATCTTGAATCTGAATTCCTTTGAATCTTCTGAGCCCACAGAAGTAGCCCACTCCTCCCTTTGAAGGTCAGTACATCCCCTCCATCCTTGTTTGAGAGACAGAAAAATAGAGAGAGAGAGAGAGAGAATCATAAAACAGAATACACACCACTCCTCCCACACAAAGATAAAAATTAGAGAAACGACTTCATCAACCAGCAGAAGAGGGTGGCCTCTCCCTGATACAGTCGTCTCTTCTCTGAACACTATCCACCATCTTTCATGATCTTTCCCTACCTCACTTGGCTAATGTGCTAAACCAGCATCTGCATTGGAACAAGATCCCTACGTGATTCTTAAGTACACTGAAGTTTGACAAGGACTGTACAGGACAATATTGGTGAGGAAGGGGGATTATTATGGTAAATTGCATGGTACATCAGGACTCCCTAGTTACATTAGAATTCCACTGTGAATGCTATTTCATCGAGAAATCTAATTAGGTTATCTACTGGTGTGATGATGAGTTTTGTGTGTCAACTTGGTTTAGGTACAGTCCCAGCTATTCAAACACCAATCTAGGTGCTTCTGTGAAGATAATTGGTAGAAACCATTAAAGTCTGCAAAATCAGTGGATGCTATGAACTGAATTGTGTCCCCTCAAAATTCATATGTTGAAGCCTTAAGCCCTAATGTGGCTGTATTTGGTTTTGCTGATCTCAGTTGGACTTCAAGCATCTGTGCGTAGGCTGGAGGTCAGCTGAGCTAGACTAGGTTCATCTCAGCTCACCTGGGTAGCTCTGCTTCAAACTGTAAGGTTGCTGGTCAGCCAGGTAGTTCTCTCATGTCTCTCTTCCTCTTTGGACCAGGGGTTTAGCCAGGCATGTTCTTCCCATGGAGAAGGCAGAGGCACAAGAAAATAAGTAGAAACCTGCTATGATTCTTAAGGCCTAGAGTTGGAAATATCACACTGTCTCTTCCACCTATATGTCATTGGCCAAAACAAGTCATGTGGCCAAAGTCATATGGTATGGGGAAATATACTCAGTATACACAAGGCCATGGAAAAGGTGTGAATGCAGGGGCTAGTAATTCAGTCCATAACAGCTAGTGAGTACTCTTCAAGCTTAGCATAGTTACTCTCGAAAAATAAAATAAATAACGTATACCTTACCAGCATATCCTATTTTGGTAATTGTGCTTTTTCCCAATTTGATTTTGAGCTCATCAAGAATGGAGACCATTGACTCCTTATCAGATATATGGTTTACAAATATTTACTCTAATTCTGTGGGTTGCCTTTTCACTATGTTGATTGTTTCCTTTGCTGTGTAGAAGCTTTTTAGTTTGATGTAGCCCCACTTGTCTATTTTTGCTGTTGTTGTCTTTGCTTTTGGTGTCATATCCATGAAATCATTGCAAGACCAATGTCATGAAGATTTCCCATGTTTTCTTCTAGGAGTTTTACAGTTTCAGGTCTTATATTTAAGACCTTTAGTCCATTTTGAGTTGATCTTTGTGTACGGTGTATGATAGGGGTCCAATTTTATCCTTTTTCATGTGGATATTCAGTTTTCCCAACACCATTCACTGAAGAGACTTTCCTTATCCCATCATGTATTCTTAGTGCCCGTGTCAAAGATCAGTTACCCGCATATGTGTGGGTTTTATTTCTGGGCTCTCTATGCTATTCCATTGGTCTGTATGTCTATCTTTATGACAGCACTATACTGTTTTAATTACTGTAGTTTTGTAATATATTTTGAAATCAGCAAGTGTAATGCCTCCATCTTTGTTCATCTTTCGCAAGATTACTTTGGTTATTCTGGATCTTTAGTTGTTCCAAGTATATAAGGAACTCCTACAACTCAATAGCAAAGAAATAACCTGATTAAAAAATGGACAAAGGACCACAACTAGAAGAACTCACAATGAAGAATATATAACTATGTACCGGGGGGCTTTGGGGAGAAAAAGGAAAAAATAAAATCTTAAAAAAAAAGGACTTGAATAGACATTTCTCCAAAGAAGACTTATGAAAGGTGAACAAATATATTAAAAGATGCTTGACATCACTAATTATCAGAGAAATGCTATCCAAAATCACAATGAGATATCACCTCACATCAGTGAGGATGACTATTATCAAAAAGGCAAAAGATAGCAAGCGTTGGTCAGGATGTGGGGAAAAGGTAACTCTTGTACACTGTTAGTAGATATGTAAATGGTGCAGCCAATATGGAAAATAGTATGGAAATTCATCAAAAAATCAAAAACAGAACCACCATATGATCCAGTAATCTCACCTTTGGGTATATATTCAAAAGAATTGAAATCAGGATCTCAAAGAGATATCTGCAGCATATTCACAATAGTCAAGATTTGGAAACAACTGCAATATACATAGGCAGATGAATGGATAAAGAAAATGTGGTGTATCCATACATAAAATGGAATATTATAGCCTTAAAAAAGAAGAAAATTATACTTTTGTGACAACATGGATGTACATTATGCTAAGTGAAATAAGTGAGCCACAAAAGGACAAATAATGCATGATTCCACTTATATGAGGTATCAAAAATAGTCAAACTCATAGAAGTAGAAACTAGAATGATGGTTGTCAGAGGATGGGGAGGGAGGAATTGGAGAGTTACTGCTCATTGGGTATAACGTTATAGTCATATAAGATGAATATGTTCTATAGATCTGCTGTACAACATAGTGCCTATAGTTTTCAATACTGTGTGTGCTCTTAAAAGCTTGTTAAGAGGATAGATCTCATGTTAAGTGTTCTTACTACACAAAAAAAGCAAGAGTACACAAGAAATCTCTCGGAGGTGATGGATGTGCTTATTACCTTGTGTGTGGTAACAGTATCATTGGTGTATGCATTTGTCCAAACTCATCAAAACGTATTAAATATGTGCAACTTTTTGTATGTTAAGTATACCTCAGTAAAGTTTAAAAAATAAAGAATAGAAGGAATATCTTATTTGTCTGAATCCAAAGAGGCTAGCATAGTTCCTAGCACAGTCTCACAATGAAAGGGTAGCATAATATGATAATAAGAACATATACTATTACATCTCACTCCCTGGATTCAAATTCTACCATTTACTGGCTGAGTGATCTTGGGAAATTTACTTAATTTCTCTGTGCCTCTTTTCATGGGCTGTAAATGGGGATAAAATACTACCTGCCCCAAAGATTGTTGTAAGACTTAAAAGAGTCAATATTTATAAAGCCATTCAAACAGTATTTGGTACATAGCAGGTATTTACTAAATGTCAAATAGTTTACATTTTAATATTTGGTTACTTGCCTTCCTCTTCACTCTCACACTTTACTCCTTCTCTCTAGACTACAAGGTCCTTGGGGTCAAGACCTTGACCTAATATTGTTCTATACAAGGTATTGTGGAAGGAGCAGAGATTTGGAGTCAGACAGACCTGGGTGTGAATCTTAATGCTGTTACTAATTAGAAGTTAAGTAACTCTCTTAACCTTAGTCTCTGCTTCCACTTATTCATTCATCAAACATTTATTATCTTCTCTACCACAGTATAAGCTCTATGAAGGCAGGGGCCACGTCCACCTTGCACTTAGCTTCAACCCCAGGGGACAACATGATGCCTGGTTCATGGTGGGTTAGTGATAATTTTTTGATAAATGCATGTATGAATAAATAAGCACCTAATATTTGCCAGGCACTGGGCATAGCCACCTAGGATAAGATGAGGAACAAGTCATGATCTTGCTTTTGCCAGAGTCTGTAATAAGAAAACAAAGAATAATGATTACTTCTCATAAGGTTATCGTGGAAATCAAGGAGATCCTACAAGCAAGCTGAGCAGAGTACCTGGCACATAGTAAGATGCTCCTGGTTGGAATCCCAACAATGGCCCAATAAAAGCACATACAGTTCTTTTTTTTTTTTTGAGGAGGAGGAGGATTAGCCCTGAGCTAACATCTGCTGCCAATTCTCCTCTTTTTGCTTAGGAAGACTGGCCCTGAGCTAACAGCCATGCCCATCTTCCTCTACTTTCTATGTGGGACTCCTACCACAGCATGGTTTGCCAAGTGGAGCCATGTCTGCACCCGAGATCCGAACCAGCAAAGCTTGGGCCGTCAAAGTGGAATGTGTGCACTTAACCGCTGCACCACCCGGCCGGCCCCCATACAGTTCATATTTTAATATGACACATCACTATTGTAATGTGTGAAAAAGATGTAAGAGGAAGAAATACATAGTTTATGTACCCAGTTTTAAGCAAATGAGGTAACATTTCACTAGTGTAAGAAGTGAAATATCCTGGAGTTTTTGTTTCATGTTGAACTCTGAAAGAGTAAATCAGTGTATAAAAGGTGGATTAGAATGGAGGAAGGTATGAATGAACAAATGAATGCAGAGGTACAACTGCTGAACACAATAGCAAGGAAAGGGGGGGTGTTGCAGTTGGGGGAGCGCTGTCTCAGCTAAAACTAAATCACTTTCAGGATTTGCACAGCCAGCATCTCAGCCGGAAACGACTTTCCCTGGAGGGTTCCCAGCCTCCGAGAGCAGATATTCTCAAGGGAAGGAAGTTGATTCATGAGATGACTCCTAGGGAGACTGCCAGAAGGAAAATCTCTCAGGAAAAAAAAAAGAGAGAGAGACCAACAGAGAGAGAAAGAGAGAGAGTGATCAAGGTGATTCGTTAGATTTATTTGCTGTGGATCATTCGTTTGGTGCCATTTCTGGGCAATATTTAGTCTAAGGAGAGGTAAAGTGATAGTGAAGTGAGAAGTTTACAAAGCTTGTTAGCTGACTATCCTGAAAGGGAGTTTGTCTTGAGATGCTGCAGGGGAAGTAAGTTTGCCTTCAATAAGCCCTGAGAGTTTGGGTTTAGGGCCTTCTAGGATCCTCTTCTTGGCAAAATTTCTATAGCTGCATAATTTGAAGAGTTCTGTGCTGTCTCTTTTTGAATTACCCAATAGATTCTTTAACAGCATCACAATTTACTCCTGAATAGATAAGATAACCTCTCTTATCCTGGCGTGAATCACGAAAACTAATAAAATTTCATCTGGTTGAGGGAATCACGGAATCATAGACTTTCAGAGATGGAAGAGTCCTAAAGGTCATGTGGTCCTCATCCTGCTCTGAACATTAAGGGGAGTGAGGACTTTTACGCATTTCTGAACCTGTGAGATTTTTATGACAACCCAGGAGAATAGATTTAGGATGAAGGACATGTTTACTAGCCAGGCGATAAATTGACTAAATTAAATATGAAGAGCATTATAATAAGTGAGCTACTGGCTGACTTTAGCAGCAGGTAGTTTAGAAATGCCTGTCTTAGTTATTGACTAGGCTTATTGCCACCTTTCCTGCAACTGTTTTTCAAATTTCAAGCAGAAGCATTTACTAAGAGTGGATCCAAGACCCTGTCTTTCCTTACAGGGCTGGCATTTTTCAAAATATGTTGCAATGTTAAAACTTTGATTTGAGGTTTGAACACTGAGTGTCTTCCCACCTGTCCAGGCATTGGGTGCGAAGGCTTTTCTATGAGCTTCTGCCTCCTATTAAACAGTAATTTCTCTAACAAAAAAAAATTTCTCTAATTTAGAGCTTCAAAAATCTCACTTTACAATAAGCTGCTACTGGGCTCAGCTGAGGTCAAGGGTAATGTGCAGAGGGTGTGCATTCGTTCAATCAGGAACTATTGAATAACTATCATGGGTCAGTCCCTGTAACACAGATATGAATAACAATGTTATCAGTAGTATAGAAATATGAACAATGGTGTCACAGCAAGGAGGGCGACTAAGGCCACTTGTGGAGGAAGCAGAGCAAAACAATTTTGAGCAGTCTTGCAGAATAAAAGGCAGGTTTCCTGGTAGAGAATTAGGGAAAGGTATTCCAAGCAGATTTTTCCTGTTATCATTAACAGCTGACATTTATCAAGTGCTTTCTATGGTCCATGTTATGCAAGAGCTTTATGTGGATTTTTTTCAGTTCACCCTCACAACCTCATGCGGTAGACACTATTTTTACTCCATTCTTTTATAGATTATTAAACTGAAAATTCAAGAGGGTAAGTCCTATATGTAAGTTCATATAGCAAGTGAGTAGCAGTATGCACGGGAACTCTGGTCCTTTTGACCCTGAATGAAATATCTCCCAAACAATAACAATCCCTTTTCTGATTTGCTATTTACTCAACAATGCAATGACCCTTCAATTTTGTAAGTTTGTCATTAGTGGGATAAGGTTGTCTCAGAATGTGAACCTCAGTATTCCAGTTATTGCATGGGTATTACAAATTTAAAATGTATGCATATTTATCTGGATAAATGGGGTTTCTCTTGTAAAAACCAAGCACCAGAGGCTGGGCTGGGATTTAAGCTAGATAATGAGGCTTGGGGTAAATCCTAACTGAAGACTTCTGTGGGATTTCCAAGGCAGTCATTAAGCACATGCTCTGGAGCCAGGTTCTGAGTCAAATCAAAACAAGAATTGAAGAGAGAGCCAATATAGAAAGCTAAAAGGACTAATAATTTCAAGCAAAAAATGTCAAAAGAGGTGTGAATAGTTTTATAAAGTAAGGCACAGAAGAACATTCTGAACTTAGCATGCCACTCAGTTTTGTATCTCATCCCTATGGTCAAGGAATCATGTCACCTGTTAATGGACACCGCCACCTCAACACTTTCCCAGAGGAAGAAATAAATGAAGAGTTGGCACATTTCTGAAAGGCTGCTGCTCTTTATTAAGCTTTTGAATTTTTGTCTGTACAGTTGGGAATATTATCATTGGTCTAATTGCTCAATATTTTGTCTTGTTTAGATGGAAGTGCATGTTGTAGAGGATAAAGTCTGTCCTGCATGCTGTGCAGTGTCCTGGTGATACTGGCCCGGACTCACTGATGCTGTCATGTCCTCATGGTCTCTAAGTGATTTGGTAATTCCTAGAAAGCCATACATAGGCAGTAGGCCGAAAACAATTGTTTATTTAATGGTTTTCATTTGTTCATCCAGCAAATATTTCTGGAGTGTCTCCTATGAATCTGGCACAATTTAAGAACAAGAGACACAATGATAAATAGAATAGACAGTGCCAAATTCTACATTGTAGAATACAAGTACGAAAACAAGTGTTTGTATTCTAATGAGAGAGTCAAGCAATAAGCTTATAAACAACTACCAAATAGCTTAAGCCTGTGATGGTGCCCTAAAGAAAAATAACAGGGTAATGGTGTGAAGGGTGATGGAGAAGAGGGGCTGGTGTTTGCTTCTTTAGATAATGTAGGCAGGGACAGCCTCTCTAGGAGATGACACTTGGACTACTTCTTGAAGGATGAGAGGGAGTCCACCATGAAAAGGGGCAAGGAAAGAAAGTTTCTAGCAGAATGACCCCCAAAATCAAAGACTCTGGAGTGGTAGCAAGTTTAGAGGTCAAAGAACAAAGACTGAGGCTTGATCAGGAAATGCTATAAAGACCATGGAGCCCCTTAGGGAATTTCAGCATATTAGATAAATGCTTATCAAACTTTGAACTTCCAGAAGGCACTGAGACTTTGGATCAGTAGCTTTCTAGGCAGCTATATTCTTTTGGAAGATAAAGGTGAAGCATTGACAGATGGCTTCTGAGCTAAGTGCTGCCCTCCTACTTGAATGTCAAAATGCTCATTCTTGTATTTTCTGTTTGATTTGCCCAGAAAAAGTAACGGTGGTTAAGAGACGGCATCTGGAATCAGAGAGTCTTGCTTTTAATTCTAATTTTCTACTGGGTATTAGATGCATCATCCTGGACAATTTACTTAACTTAAACAAGTCTTCTTCCTCCACTTCTTCTTTTTCTTCCTATTTATTCCAGATACCTCTGTGTGCTGTCTCACAGTCTCTTGGCCTCACTTCTGACTCCAACTATGGCTACGGCAAACAGTTCTTGTGGCCTTTGACTCACTAGCAATATCTCACCTTAAGCACACACCAGCCATTTTCATTTGCTGTCCCAGTCCTTCTCTGACAGCGGAATGGTAAGTTGCAGGAAGCATGCTCTACACTCATGTGGAGCCTGGGAGTGAAGGAAAATTAATACCCCCAGGGCATCTCTCAACCGATAAGTGAAGGAACCTGAGACTCTTAAACTGTTAGGTTTTCCTGAACACTCCATGCTGGCAGAAGGAACTTCTCCTTTATTATGGAAGAGCAACTTCTCAATGCCTAAACACCTTGAAAAGGCCTTACCTGAGGAAGACGCCTTGCAAGGTGTCGCTTTTTCTCCTCAAGATCCACTACCACTCAACCCTTTTTGCCAAGACCAGTAACTTGGGTCTTGTCTCAGCACAGCCTGAACAAAGATTCTGGATTTACCATCCTGGCAAACAGACCTGGAACCAGTTCTAATCTGCTGCTGGATTCCTTGAAGGTTGTACACAATGATGGTGCACAGTAAATGAGGTGGAGATGCCAGAACAACCTAGACAGAAAATTGAAGAAGGAGCCAAAAAGCTGAGGAAGGAGAAAATGTTAGAGTGGATTTATATGAGACCAGAAAATCCCACTGACTATTCACTGGAAGGACCCATAGATATTCCTTTACCAAGGCTGTAATGAAGGTTCTACTGAAAAGTAGATTTTAGAAGCTCAGTGAAGACTTTCACGTGTTGGTATGATAGTAAAATGTGCTACCTTGATACTGAGCTGCTTTGTATTAGTGAGTTGTGAAATGATCCCAGAATAGCAAAGGCCAAGTGGCAGCACTTAACTTTCAGAAACAAAGTAGATATGATTATCATAATGGGAAGGGCCAGGATAGCAATCGAGGCGCCTTTACTTGAAGGGTTCTATGGTAATGGCTCATAGATTAGAACGTTCCAGAGAACGAGATAGATGGACAGCCCACAAAAGTGTTCTTCAACTTGAATTAATGTAACCCCCTCCCTTGACAAAAAAAAAAAATCAAGAGGTGGCTGCTGTTAGCCAAGACAATGAAAAACTGTAGTCCTTCACCCAAATTGGAGATCTAAATTTGTTCACAGACCCAGAGCTTATTAGTCAAAGGGGGAGCTTGTTTCTCTTGAGGAAGGACCCTATAATGCTATCATATGTGTATACCATAAATATTCTCCAAAATTGACCTACCAGAGTAACTATGCAAAAGGAAAATGGAATACCTAGCCCTTTCAAAGACAGTTGAATACAGGGTCTGAGCTGACTCCGATACAAAGGACCCAAAATACTATCCCAGAGCTTCAGATGGAGGCTCATGGAGACCAGGTGATAAACAGAGTTCTGACCTAAGTCTTCCACAGAAGGTTCATTGAATCCACAGACTCAATTTCCAATTCTCAAGTGTATAATTGGGGTAGATATACTTAAGAGCTGCAGAACACTAATTACTCACTGCCCTATGGAGTGTGAGTCAAAACTCTAGGAAATTCCTGAGGTTGCCTCCATCCTCTTGCCAAGAAAGTTAAGCATAAGTAGTACTGCATTCTAGGAGGAAATTTGGAGATTAGCCCTAACACCAAAGATTTAAAGGATGCAGTGATGGTGGTCCCTACATATGCTTATTAAATTCAACTGCACAGATCCTGAAACAATAAAGCCTATGAGTGTGGTGGAAGACAGTGGACTCCTATAAACTCCACCAAGTGTTATGGTCATCCCTATTCATCTGCTGCACTGGGTATGAAATCTTTATGAAACAGAGCAACCCAGACTTTGGTACTGGATATGAGGCTACCGATCTGGTCAATGTGTTCTTCTCTAATTCTATCAGGAGAGAGGATCAAAGGCAGCTTCCTCTTATGTGGGGAGGACAACATTACACATACACTTTCTTTTCCCAGGGCTATATTAAGTATCTTGCTCTCTGTCACAATGTAGTCACCAGGAGCCTTGATCATATTGACATTCGTCGGGAATCATGCTAGTCCTTAATATTGATAATATCATGCAAATAAGACCTGGTGAACAGGAAACAGTAAGTACTCTGGATCCCTAGCAAGATAAATACATGTCAGAGGGTTGGAGATAAACTACATGAAAAATTAGCTGCCTACCATATTAATGATCTTTTTAGAAGTCCAATGGTCTAAGATATGCTGAGACATCCCTTCTAAGGATGAAGGCAATTTTTGCGTTTTGTGTCTTCTACTACTAAGAAGGAGCCACAGGACTTAGTGTGCCTCTTTGAATTTCTGACTGCATTTGGGAATAGTTCTCTAATGCATTTGTCTGGAAATTTGAAAGAGTGACAGTTTTGAACGGGGCCCAGAGCAAAATAAGGCTGTGTGACAGGTTTAGGCTGTGGTCCTAGCTGCTCTGCTACTTGAGCTGTATAACCTGGCAGAGTCAAGGGTACTAGAACTATCTGTGACAGAGAGAGATGCTGCTTGGAATCTCTGCCAAACCCCAAAAGGAGAGACACAATGCAGATCCCTTCCACAGCAGAGAACCACTTACCATTTTAAAAGCACCTCCCACAGTGCTGCTGGGTCCTGATAAAGACTGAGCACCTAATAACAGCTTACCAGGTAAGTGAAGCTGTCAAAGTTGAGCTGGATATTATCAGATTATCCAAATCATAATATTGGGTAGGCACAGCAGCAATCTACTAGACACTGAACAAGAGAAATGGTATATTGAGAATCAAGCCCGAGCAGCCCTAGAGATGTAAGTTACATGAAGATGGGCCTCTACAGATTAGTGACGCTTCTCCTGCACTTCATATCTATGACCTTATGGCATGAGGTGTTTCCTATGACTAAATGATGGAGGCAGAAAAAAACTGAAACCTGGTTAACAATGTCTTTTTTCTCCCACTCCGCTGGTTTGAGCTGAAAATGAATGGCTACATCAGGACAGCCCCATTCAGACATGATACTAAAGGACAGTATTGAGGTAAATCCTCCCAATGGGCAGAGATGTGAGCAGTACACTTGATCATTCACTCTGTATGAGTGAGAAGTGACCTGAGATAAGGATACACACAGATGTTTGATCAGTGATGAAAGACTTGTCTGCTTGGTCAGGGGCTTGGAAGTAGCATGATTTGATTAGAGACAAGGGAATCTGGGAAAGAAATACACTGATGTACCAATGGAAGTAGGCCAAAACCATGTAGATCTTTCTGTGTCATGTTAATGTCCACCAGGGACCCTCCATTGCAAAGGAACTGCTTAACTGGGTGGACAAAATGATGCATCATCTAGTGGGAGTCAGCCAGCCTCTACCCTTGGCCACCCTTGTGACTGTGCAATGGGCCCATGAACTGAGTAGCCACGTTGGCAGACATGAAGGCTATGCAGAGGCCTAAAGTTTAGGGTCCCTCTGATCTAGGCTGATCTAGCTTTTGACACTGCCAAATGTCCAAAATGCTAGTAAAAGACCAACATTGCACCCCTTGATATGGCACTACCTCCCTAAAATATCTGCTAGTCACTTTGTGGCAATTGGGTTACATCAGACCCTTTTCATCCCAGAGGTGAGTGTCAATTCATCCTCAAATGAGTTGAAACTTGTTCCAGATATGTCTTAGCTTTCCCCGCCTTCCGTGCTTCCCCCAGTACCACCATCCAAGGGCTTGCAGAATACCTGATTTATAGGCATGGGATCCCAGACAGCCTTGCCCACCAAAGGGATGCGTTTTTGTAGCACAGAACTTACAACAGTGGACCATTGACCATGGAATCTATGAAATCTTTCCATATTCCACATCACTCAGGAGCAACCAGACTAACAGAGTGATGGGAAGACCTTTAAAGTTTCAGCTAAGCCACCAGCTTGGGGGCAATACTTTGTGGTATTGTCCTCGAGGAGGAGGTAAGTGCTTTAAACCAGTGGCTGATATGTCCCTGCTCTTCAGAATTGAAGGCACAACCACTGTTAACATTGCTTGCATGTGTGGCCAAGTGTTTTTTTTTTTTTTTTTTAACCAGGTGGAGGTGCCATGGCTTAGCAGAAAGAGTCCAGACTTTGAAGCACTTTGTGGTTATTTAATGAATATTAGATGATCCATAAGGACAGTGACTTTATCTCTTTTCTACCAATTTTATCTATTCCCTGCTGAATCCCTAGTGCCTAAAAGGAGTATCCGGCAATCAAAAACACTTGAAAAAATATTGCTGATGCAATGTATATGGAACATTTAACATATTTAGTGCTTAATAAAGGGTTACCATTATTATTCGTGCATATTGTGTGCCACATGTGAAGACTTCTTTTTGTGTGCATGTGAAGAAGATTGGCCCTGAGCTAACATCTGTGGCCATCTTCCTCTGTTTTATGTGGGATGCCACCACAGCGTGTCTTGATAAGCAGTGCTAGGTCTGTGCCCAGGATCTGAAACTGAAAACTCCAGGCTGCCAAAGTGGAGCATGCACAGACTTAACCACTGTGCCACCAGGCTGGCCCCTGTGGCCTTCTTTAGTCTGACTGTCACTGTTTTTACCTGTGATGCCACCTCAGAAGCCTCCTCATTCATTCTTTCGCTCAAAGTGAATTGGCCTAGGAAGGATGGCTGGCCCTGCTGTTGCTGCTGCTCTTCCCAGCCTCTCACAGCTGCACTGAGCAGTATGGAATTGGGCTTTAGCCTGTCATTATGGGGCCTCCTCCATCCCACCCTGCTCATGGCCTCAGCACTTCGATTCACCATTCAGCCTTTGCTTGGGCACCCTGCTGACATCCAACCTCAAGAAATTTCTCAATGTGCAGGAATGCCATAATTATGCAGCCTTAGACTTCTCCCTTCTGAGATCGTTACAGAAATGAATTGTGTTTCTCAAACAAATCAGATTGTACAATTTTGAGGAAGTCTATCTTGGTCGGCATAGGGGATCTCAGACTTATTCTGGCTGCCTGCCCAAAATCAGTGATACAAGGACCCCTCTGCCTTAGCAGAGAGAAGCTTCTGTCAGAATCCCTATGGGAAATTTGTACAAGCAATTCCTACCCTCATAAACAGGACTCCTACTGGCAATTTGTTCTGTAAGGAAAACAGAAAAAGTGCTGATACGGCTTCATCAGGACCTGTATCCTGGGCTTCATCAAGAAAAGAAGTAATTGAAACAATTCCTAATTTGTGGCCTGAAGGGGTTTGCAGTTTTCTCTTCTGTCTTGCACAGAAGTTCTGAGCTCAGAAAAAATAAGGAAAATAAATTCTAATAAATAGAATATTGAAGGAATTGTAATTCTAGAAAGACAAAAACAGAGAGAAATCACTTCCTCAGCCTATTTGGGTATGAAGGGCCAGGATTCAACACATAAGCATCTTTGAATACTGAGCCTTAAGACACTCCCTCTATACTAGCCCCCTCCCCTGTACTTGCAGATCAGTCAATTTGCAGCCCAGTCTGGAGTAGTGTTGTCACAGACAAGATGAGGTGAGATGCAAGTTGGGCCACTGACGCATCTTTTGCGGGGAGGTGAGAAACCAGATTTCAGTAGCATCAATGTCACCAGGATACGGGATAGTGTGAATGGGGGCATCTTAGACACAGAAACTTCAGGGCGCATTGAGAACTGAGATGATTCCAGCAATTGTCAGTGCCCATCTGGCCTAGGGGCATGCATGAATGAAGATCGCAGTGGTAAAAGATATGTGGGAGAGGTGAAAAGCAGTTGGCTCTAGATTTGTCTATGCCGATGTCTCATTATTAGGTAGAAAAATAAGCGGAACAGAATTCAGCTTTGGGAAAGAAGGCTCCCAAGAGCCAAGTAAGATGCCAGCTAGATTTGAGAGCAATATCCTAAGCTGAACTGGGGTACTAAACAGGAAAACTAAGCAGAACCACAAAGAAGGAAATAAAAATAAAGAACTTGTGGTTAGAACTCATAAAATAGAGAAAAAGAAAAGCTAGAGTAAAGGGCTCTATAAATGCTCAGAGGTCCTGAGTAAGGTGACTCAGAGGGCATGTGACATCCCACCAAAGCTCAGACACTGGATTTGGGGCCTGAGAGATGAGACATTTCCAGCAGCCTTTGGGTAGGGGGAGAGAGGGCAAGGGTGCCAACACACTTCTTGTCCTCATCAGGATTGTCTCAGGATCTGAGATGAGGCTGGGTTTTGCAAATGGGGCCTAGTAGCTACTATTTATTGAGGATATACTATCTATCAGGTGCTGGAATAAGTACTGTATATCCATTATTCATTTTTTCTTTCAGGAACTACAAATGGAAAGCTGAAGAACACTATGGCATTTCTGGCAGTCAAGATTTGGAAAGTTACACACTAAGAAGCTATAATATGCTTAAGGATAATTTCCACCTAATAAAGAGAACAGAAATTTTGTTTATGCAACCAAATAGAGAGTTACTGTATAGAGCATATATTTTCTGAATCAAACAGAACAGAGAATGACGGCATTGAGACATGTAGAAATACCCTTATAATGACAGAGCTGTCATGTGGAATCATGTGTTATTTCATGTGTCCATTCCATCTGAATGAGCAATAAAACCATCTTGGAAAAGAATAATTTCTTCTCTGATCATGTTATTTCTCTGGGACCTCTTATTTCTTTTCCGTGTGTCCTCCCTCTCTTTTGCTCTCTATGATATAACAAAAGACTATTTTCAGAAAAAAAGGGGCATGCAATCCTTGGAGACAGATCTCCATGGCAAGATACAGTGACTCATCTTCCATGGTAACAGTCTCTTATTCATGATGTGGATTGTGCCAGAGATGGTTCAACCAGATGAGAATGCTGGTATTACCTAGAAAACACGGGTGTGTCCATCTTCCATTGGGTTTGATGTTCTGCTTTGGGTTTTTGTTCATGTGGTTTTGATGTCAAAGTAGAAAAGAATGTTTCCAGAGAAAGAGCAGAAACCAGACTCCTTGGTACCATCTTTCATTATAGCTGTGGTCAGACTGGGAGAATGAGATGGAATCTGATAGTTTAGACAGTGGTATGTTCCTCTCCTGATAAGTGCGTGTATCTTTTTGGTGGGTCCTGGTGAAATCTCCCACTTTCACTCCCTGAGTCAAATTTTGCTAGGGTTCTCTAGCTCTCTCATGGTACCCTGACAAAGTAATGTATGTGGTGAATAGACTAAAAACTAGGACTTTACCACTGAAATTTGAGATCTAAATATCCTAAAGTATGTGACAAGTGACCTACATTGCTAAGTGTCTAACAGAGGAGAGGCTTATTCTGTGGCACCTATACTTAGTACTCTCTGACAATTAGTGCCATTTCTTCAGAGAGTATCCCCAAAATTTTGCCTTAGAAGATAAATCCTTGATTCCAGGCCATCTAAATGTGTCCTTGGGTGGGAAGGGCAAAGGCAGGAATGCTGATGTAAATATTGATCAGACCCTTTCTATTATTTTATTCGGACCATGCATTATTGAATGATACTGCCTTTACCCTTGATTCACGTTTCCATGAAGAGGGACATCAATCAGTGTAAGGTTCTTGACTTCCTCGACACCCTCACTATATTTTCCTCATGGGAGGAGGATTAAATCATCTGATTCATAAATTTAGAAGCAGAAACTGGGCATGTATGACTGAATCCATTCTTTTCTTCCCCTCTTCTTTGGATCTACCTGATTTCATAAACATACACTCTATTTTGTTCTTGTTCATTCAATGGGCTTCATACTACTAGCTCTGACCTTTTGTGTGGAAGGCCTGTGGTTGACAGGCACTATCTGACATTGAGTGACTAAGTCTGTATATTATCAAAGTTAAGTATTAGGAAGCCCATTGTTGCCTGATGCCTAAGCCTCATTTTCGAATTCCTCCATTAGTAATGAATCAGGCATTTTCATCTCCAACTGCCTGATTCCTTGTCTCTCTCACTGCAGAACTCAGACTAGAAACAAAATAACATATTCTATTAGGCTGCCTAAAATCCCAACATATGCCATCAATACTTTTCACATCGTATAGATTTACCGAGTTCTCTCCTTTAGTGAACCCCCAAACAGCACCATAAATACTCCTTTAAAGGGTGATAATTACATTTCTAATGATGTAGTTCTATTAAGGCCTCTCTCTCCATAATATCCACTTATTTCTGTTAGTCATAAGGCATCTCTTACCCTGGATGTATTCATAGAAGACACCTTTGAGACATATCTGATGTATAATCAAAGTAACTCTAAGATAATTGGAGAATTTGGCCAAAGGTAAATTTATAGAAAATAATCGAAGAATGTTCTACTTCTTTACAACATAGAATTCAGATTTTTAAAGCTGTGAGATTTCCCAAAATGAAAGGTAAAACCCCAAAGTATCAATTAAGTATTTATTCCAGAAACTAGAAGCCTCAGGACAGCAGTGGGGAGAGAGGCTGAAATATAAGAAAGCATTCTGGAATGAAAATCATCCCATATCTAATTTGATGAGGGAAATGCACACATTTGGCATCCAATACAGAAACTATAGTTTAGATAGACAAAAAACAACATCAGTAGGCTTTATTCTGGCTTTGAGTTAGATAAAGAAGCAAATAGTACAGGAATCCAAAAGCTGACCACCACATTTTCAGAGACTCAATTTTGCTCAGCAACATTTTGAACGACTCCTTTGTCTCATTTTTTTCTTGAGAGGAAACCGAAGTTAAGTAACCAAAATGACATAGGTTTTAATAGTCTATTTCAAAGAAAGCCTTCAGCTCTCTATATATGTAGATTTAGGGAATGTCATTAAAATTTATACTAAAATATATCCCATTAGGATAGAAATCAAACAATTTTTATGAGTGAATTCTTCTTTGTGTGTGTGCGTGTGTGTGAGGAAGAGTAGTCCTGAGCTAACATCTGTTGCCAATCTTCTGCTCATTTTGTTTGAGGAAGATTAGCCCTCAGCTAACATCTGTGCCAATCTTCCTCCACTGTATATGTGGGTTGCCATCATAGTGTGGCTGACAAGTAACGTAGGTCCTCACCTGGGATCTCAACCCACAAACCCGGGCTGCTGAAGCGGAGTGTGCTGAACCTAACCACTACACCATGTGGCTGCCCCCCCAGTGAGTGAATTCTTAATGAGGTTTTCTCAAATGCAATTTAGCTTTTAAACAGTTGATCATTAAATTACTAGTCTTCCATATTTGAGTCCAAACCATGTTCCATAAGTAGTTTATCTTGATAGAGTATCCCTAAAAATATTTCAGGATATGAAAAGTCATATGCCAAAGTGTTACCATTGGTTGTTACATCAGTGAGCTGAGACTGGAGCAAAATGGTAGGGAGATTAGCAGAATTTTCCTCTTTTAGTTAAAAATGTATAGAAACACATTTTTCAAAAGTTCACACAGTGGGTTAGGTTTTGAAAGCAATTCAAAGTTTCCCAAGAATTATTTTTTTAAAGATTGGCACTTGAGCTAACATCTGTTGCCTATCTTCCGTTTGTTTTTTTTTTTAAATTTCTTCTTCTCTCCAAAGCCCCCCAGTACATAGTCGTATATTCTAGTTGTAGGTCTGTCTGGCTCTGCTATGTGGGACACCGCTTCAGCATGGCTTGATGAGCAATGCGAGGTCCGTGCCCAGGATCCAAACCAGCAAAACACTGGGCTGCTGAAGTGGAGCATGTGAACTTAACCACTTGGCCACATGGCTGGCCCCTCCCAAGAATTTTTTTTTTTCTTTTAAGATTGGCACCTGAGCTAACATCTGTTGCCAATCTTCTTTTCTTCTTCTTCTTCTTCTCCCCAAAGCCCCCCAGTACATAGTTGTATATTCTAGTTGTAGGTCCTTCTGGCTCTGCTATTTGGGACACCACTTCAGCATGGCCTGATGAGCGGTGCTTTGTCTGCACCCAGGATCCAAACCCGCGAAACTCTGGGCCACCAAAGTGGAGTGCATGAACTTAACCACTTGACCATGAGGCCAGACCCCCAAGAATTTTTAATATGGTTTTATTGATAGGAGGAATCAGTGTTAATTCCTATATTGTCTTTCCACATCTGTAAATAATACAGGTGCACAATCCCTTATCTAAAATTCTTGGGCAACTGTGTTTCAAAATTTGGAAATTTGGTGCTTTTAAACTGGGAATGTAGTACATGAACCAAATGACATAAAATGACGCCATCAAGGTCTGGAATAGCATTCTGTAATTAAGCACAGTAATATTTTTATAGTGAAACATATGAAGTGCATATGATGAGATAACGACGAAAAATAACATTCATATTGTGTGATACATAAAGACTCTAAATAACCTCAGAGGAGGTCTTGCCACCGAATGAGTTACACAACTTTGAGCTGTGATTTTTGGATTTCAGAACTACCAATACAAGGTTATTGTCCTACAGTAATGTTGATAAGCACTGACAACAATGATGCTAAGCACCTTACATATATTATTTAATTTAATCCTTTCAACAACCTTATTAAGAGACAACTATCATAGTCCTCATTTGAGGATGAAGAAAATGAGACATGCTAGCTAGTAAGGGCAGAATCAGGATTTGAATGCAGGCATTTTGGCTCCAGGACCATGGTTTTAGCTACTATACTTTACCGGATTTCTTTCTAAAGGAACAGTGATGGCCTCAACAAAGAAGGAACCCAACCCCATACACGGTTGTTGTTGCCTTCAGGAATCGTCCTAGCCAACAGCTGTGACCTTGCAGATCCCTGAGAGTAAGTAGTTTGCTCCCAATTATCCCCTCTTCTCCCCCAGGGCCTAGGACAGAACTTGGTATCCAGTAAGCCCTAACTATTTCCTTGTTGACTGACTGACCAATGCTTTTTCTGGGACCTTTAGACAGAAGGAAAGCCCATGGAAGGAACAGGAGAGGGCAGAGTCTGTTTATGTTCAATGGCAGGACTGCTTCCTTCTCTCCCACCCACATACGTAGTTCAATATTCTCTCACTGATGGAGGATGTGGATTTTGAGCCTTTATCTCCTCAGGCTCTAGATCACAAAATGAGAACTAGATTTATTTATCTATACAAATGTAGACTGAATAATAAGTCCCTAATTACTGTGGTTTTAAAAATGAAAGCACTTCAGTGTATAAGCATGTAAAAGACATGTGCTGCTTAGAAACGGACACTACTGAGGATCGTTTTGTCTCCTGGAATAAGACACGTGTATCTATTCAACCTCCCTCAAGAAGGAAGATGATTCCTAGTGGAGGGTCGGGGAAGGGCCTCCTTAAGGAGTCCATTGGCCCATTTTAAAGGTCTGGAGTATAGAACTGAGAAGTTTGATCCCTTCTGCCAAGACTCTTTCTAACTCACAAATAGTCCTGCTTCAATTTCTATACCCTTTAAATCCATTTCACATACCACTTCTGGATTAAGTTTCAAAAAAACATACCTTTGATCATGTCATCTCCTTCTGCAAAATCTTCCATGGCTTCCCATTTGCTAATTAATTACATGGTCCCAATCCAACCAACAATCAATATCTTCCATAAGACATCCCAACTTTTATGGCCTTCTCTCCCATTAGTTCCCTGTCCTATATTACAGACAAGTAATTTAATGCTCTCTGTATTGGACCC